GAGCTTTTCTTAACACTCTAGTGAAACAAAAGGCTTAAAACATAAGTTTGGGGGAGAGATGGAGAACTTGAAAAAGGTATCAAGGCAAGAAAAGAGAAAATAAATGATCTCTATAAGAAAAGAAGGCAAGAAAATAAAAGAACAAAAAAGAAAAATACAAAAAGTGAATTAGTGCAAGGGTTGAATGGGTTTAAAAAAAAGAGAGGTAATGATCCCAAACATGAAGAAATAAAAAAGGAGAAAAAGAATGAAATGATTAAGAAAGAGTGATGCTAAGTCTCTCTAGTCTCCAATGAAAAGAAAGTGCCTCTAAGAATTGACAAAGTGTGAGCCGAAAAATGAAAGATGGAGTGCTTAAGGAAAGGTGTAACCACTTACCCATACGGTATCCTACCCTAACCCAAAAGCCTTTATTACATCCCGAAAAAGTCCTAGTTGATTTCAAACCGAGTGAGCTTACATTAGTGGCAATTTACATGAGAGAAAGCCTATGGTACTTGATGCCGTACTTGTGACATTCTCTTGAGAGAGATGAGTGAACCTTTCATAAATATTTGGATTGAGTGCTAAATATTTTAGTTCAAATTTTCAGGAAAAAATAAGTACTGCTAAACCCTAAATAGCAATACTAAAAATGGCTATTTGTGTACTTCCTCCCAAAACATGACTTCCCAGTGGAAATTCAAATTAGTTTAAGCCTAATGTAGATACCGAAAGCCGGAACCAAAATAATAACAAATTGAGCTCAAGCGATCAAAATAGGTGGAAAAACAACGAGTGAACGAATGTATATATAATGCATGAAATACATGCGCTATATGTCAACGGGGATAGTTACTCGTTAACGTAAAGCGCATGTATTGCATACGCTATACCAAGTTAGAAACAAGATAAGAATACAACAAAACAATGGATTGCATATGTGAACATACCACTCCATCTTGCTACTTAGTTGGTATAGTGATTGGAACTCAATATAAAAACATTCATCTTCTACTACTTTCTTCGAAAGTCTTCTTCTTAGTCAATCATGTACTTCACTGTTGAGTGACACGTATGTACTATGTTTTCCTCTGGCTAGACTGATAGTCAAACCAATATATGCAAATACTGAAATACTCGAAGTAATTCCTCTCAAATCCATTATAGGAAAATCCAATTAGACTACTGAATTGTATTTTAACATCTAGCATGCTTAATTACGTGCTTATGGTTAGAGATAATATTTTTGAAAGAAATAGCTCTAGTAGTGACTTTGTGACTTTTGTGTTGACTTTGGCAATCATCGATTGGTTTAGTTAGACCATAGTGATCTTTAAACTTGAATGTGGTCATCGTGGGCCCTCGACTCTGTCCTCTTTTACAATCTGGTTGTGTGAAGGGTGAGATGAATTATTGCTAGTCCAAGTACTCGTGCGAATGGTCTAGAACTTGTCCTGAATGTGTGTCAAGGCGAAATCCTAAGTTTTGCTTGGTTTGAGAAGTGATTGTAGGCTCTCCTTGGCCCGTTTGAGTTTTCTATTGCCAACCAATGTCATTATCCCTATTCAACCCCTTTGAGACTTTAGCCTTTCTCGTTTGATAACCATGTTACAAGCCTTTACCCGTTTTGTCGTGGCTCTCTCTTGGCACCCGAGCTTTCTTTAACACTCTAGTAAAACAAACGGCTTAAAACGTAAGTTTGGGGGAGAGATGAGGAACTTGAAAAAGGTATCAAGGCACAAAAAGAAAAAAGAAATGATCTCTATGAGAAAAAAAGGTAAGAAAAGAAAAGAACAAAAAAGAAAAATGCAAAAAGTGAATTAGTGCAAGGGTTGAATGGATTCAAAAAAAAAAGAGGTAATGATCCCAAACATGAAGAACTAAAAAAGGAGGAAAAAAATGAAATGATCAAGAAAGAGTTATGCTAAGTCTCTCTAGTCTCCAATGAAAAGAAAGTACATCTAAGAATTGACAAAGTGTGAGCCGAAAAATGAAAGATGTAGTGCTTAAGAAAAAGGTGTAACCACTTACCCATACGGTATCCTACCCTAACCCAAAAGCCTTTATTACATCCCGAAAAAAGTCCTACTGGATTGCATATGTGAACAGACCACTCTATTTTGCTACTTTTTTTGGTATAGTGATTGGAACTCAACATAAAAACATTCATCTTCTACTACTTTCTTCGAAAGTGTTCTTCTTAGTCAATCATGCACTTCGCTGTGGAGTGACACGTGTGTACTATATTTTTCTCTGGCTAGACCGATAGCCAAACCAGTATATGCAAATACTGAAATACTCAATGTAATTCCTCTCAAATCCATTACAGGGAAATCCAATTAGACTACTGAATTGTATTATAACATTTAACAATTTAAAAGCACATAGCGCATGAAATACACGCGTTATACGTTAACGGGATAACTGGGCCCATTAACATAAGCGGGTGTATTTCATGCGTTATATATACATTCGTCCACTCGTTATTTTTTCATCTATTTTGGTCGTTTGAGTTCAATTTGTTATTATTTTGGTTTCGGACTCCAGATACCGAACACCGAATATTAAATAAAATAAAAAAACTAACTCATTCATCTGATTCTATATCAAGTAAATAATTTTAATTTATTATCATGTAGCAAACTCTTTGATGAACAAAAAACAAAAGAAAACAACAAATGATGTAGTGGACCCCGACCCATATAATGTTTGCCTTTGGTACATGACTGTACTAAGTACATAAATGGGCCCAATGTTTTAATTGGCCTATTGGGCCAGACAGAACCATCCCAACAACTATAGTAGAGTTCATAATTATTACTCTTGAATATGAGGGTTCACCAATGCCACGTTTCGAATTATGATTGAAGCACCAAAGTTTTTGCTTTAATTTTAAATTTGACAATGAGATTTCAAAAGATGATTCTTTCTCCACTTATTTTTTTAAAAAAATTGATAAGAATTTTTTCTTGGAATTTCTTTCTAAAGTTCCAAATAATTTTTAGGTTTATAAATAGACGAGTTTCGTCACCACTTAGGGATGTACTAAAATGGTTGAAATTCGTCAATTATTAACCATAGGTCTCGAGCTTAAATTCTAATAATTATTTTAAAAGGTGCACCTTACCTTCTCCAATAAGTCTATCCAATACAAATATGAATTAATTGAGTTAATGTACTTCATATGCCAATCATTAAAATAAAGAGGATTTTCCATTTCTTTTTCTTCACTTTGCAAACATTAAAGATCAAGAATTGAAAGTAAATACAAAACATATTGAATAGTCAAGATGCATGCAAGTTGATTCAACAATAAAAATAATATTATATTCAGTGTAATTTTACAAGTGAAGTATGGGGTGAGTGGGACGTACGTAGACCTTAACCCTACCTTGTGAGAGGTAGAAACGTTGTTTTCAATAGACTATGCGCGGGTTGATTCAAGAATTATAAAAAAGGACGGGTTGATGGCGAGTTTTGTTCTCTATCACGTAAAGATAAATAACAAAAAAAAAAGTGAATAAATATAGCATAATTTTTCATCGTCCTCTAGCTACGAAAATTACGTAATTGATGGTGCAACTCAATTCGATCTTACATAGTTAAATACTGAAAAAAAAGTTGCGCATTTTCTCAGGTTAACCCAGCCATAGAATCGTCTTGTCTACACCACACTGCCACCTAAAAAATCTATACCTTTTATCGAACTGCATAGGCCCACCATTTTTGAACATTATCGTGAATACTTTGATTCCATAGGAAGTGCCTTGAGGTCGACATTGGGCGGAGCTACAATATTAGCTATATGTGTTTGGATGAATATAGTAATTTTTGCTTAAATTCTGTAATGGAATTATGCAGCGCGAACTTGAATAAGTCGGAGCCCAAAAATACTGAATACCAAATGAAAATTTTGAAAAGGAATATTGGAGCAATGATAAAGTTGTCTTCGCGTAAACTAAAAGTCACGGATTCGAGCCGTGAAAGCAGCCACTAATACTTGCGCTAGAGTAAGTTATCTACATCACATCCCTTGAGCAAGACCCTTTAGAAAAAAAGAACATAGTTAACTAATGGAACGGCGACTAAAAATAGAGGATCATGTAGCCTTTTGGCTATGGTTCATCTACACTCAAACTTTTCACCACTAATTAAAGAAATATACGTTCATCAACCCACATTACTTATGTTGCCTTCAGCATCAAATGTAGCTTTCTCTCGAGCAACCCATATAGTTGATGTTGCCCTAAGCATCAAATGTAGCTTTCACTTAATTCGTCTCAAATTTCCCCATATACCCACATACACAAGCATTTTTGTTTTTTCCTCTTTGACATTCCTACCCCACCAACCTTATGTAACTATCCATTCACACAAAAAAGTAAAAAAATTAATTTCTATGTATTAATAGCATTATTTTAACCAAGAGGTTACTCTAGTCCCAAGAATGAGTTGTTCTGGTGGTGAGCACCCTCCACTTCTAACCAAGAGGTTATGAGTTCGAGTTACCCCAAGAGTAAGGTGGGGAGTTCTTGGAGGGAGGGAGGTTCTATCGGAAACAGCCTCTCTACCCAAGGTAGGGGTAAGGTCTGCGTACGCAATACCCTCCTCAGACCTCCCTAGTAGGATTATACTAGGTTGTTGTTGTTGTTGTTAATAACATTATTTTAAACCCTTCAGGATAGCCGAGTTGGTTGAGCAGGGACTTCCCAAATAAGAGATCTGGGGTTAAAAACCCACTTGCATATCTCCTCGGTCGAGCCTGTCGCATAGGGTTTGCCTAGTGTAACTTATCCTCCTGTGAGGTTTACATGCTATTACACATGAGCAGAGTTTACCGTATGCGCACCGGAAGGATAGTGCCTACACCCTTGTTAACGAAAAAGAAGCAAAAAATTTTATACCATCGGTTTACTTAAAAAATTAACTACAAATAAAATATACCCAGTGTAAGAATAAATACATTGGCATTGTATATAAGTTAAATCCTATAAAAAAACAAACACATAAAAGACTGGAGAATGTGGTCCTCAAACATCCCTCTCTAGCTTTTGATCATCTTTCCTTTCAAAAATAAATTCCCACTTCCTCATCACTTAGCCTATATCTTCCTATAGCTCCTTTCTTCTTATTTTCATCACAATTTCCTCCATTAATTCTTCGTCTCTTTATCAACTTTTTAAATGGAAGCAGCTGATAATAATGACTTGTTCATTTTTGCCACTGATAATGATGACAAGAAGAAGAGAACCCCCAGTTATAATAATAGGAGTAGTAGTAGTAGTAATAATAACAATGAAAAGATCAAAGGGTCAAGTACTTCAATGAGGTGTTGCCAAGCTGATAAGTGTACTGTTGATTTAAGTGATGCCAAACAATACCATAAGAGGCATAAAGTCTGTGAATACCATGCAAAGGCTCAAGCCGTCGTCGTCGCCGGACTCCGGCAACGCTTTTGTCAACAATGCAGCCGGTTTCACTTCTTACTCTACCTTTATTTGTTTCATGGTCGTATTTTATATTATATTCTGTGTGATTTGATGCTTGTGTTAGGGTAAACTGTCTGTATTATATCTACCTTTCCTTAGACCCTGAGTAAACACAAAATATTTCGCGCATCGGGTTAACCTTTCTGTATGCTTGAAATCTAACTTACAAGTATGTAAATCTGAAAGTGTTCAAAAACAGCACATTTTTAAGTTACTAAAATACTACTAATAATACTCATGATGATTCTTTAGCATGTTGAGTTATCTATTTTCAGCTACTCCTTTTATATCATTTTACACGATAATAATTTATTAGAATTTAAAAAAGAAAGAAATTTTTTTCGGTATGTATCAAAAGAAAAAAATTTAGAACACGTGATCTTACACGTATCATGACATATTTATAACTATAAGCACATGTCATTACTAAGGGTAAAATTAAAAGTTTAAAATTCAAGAGTTTTCAAATATAAAATATGTCATATAAAATAAAATAGAGAAAATAATTGATTTAGCTTGCTTGAAATTAAAGTCGTCCAAGAGGTTAATTAAGAGTCTGTTTGGCCAAGCTGCCAAAAATTACTTATTTTGAAAAGTACTTTTATTCAAAAATATTTTTTGAAAAAGTACTTTTGCAAAATAGCAATTTGTGTTTGGCCAATTCGTTTGAGTAGTACTTTTTGTAAGCTCATTGTGTTTGGCCAATATTTTAAAAAATTACTTTTAAGTATCAAAGTACGAAAAAGGACAGTAAATGTTCAATTTGTCATTAGTAATATTTAGAAAAGAAAAATAAATTTAAATATTTATTATAAAAGAATTCAATTAAAATATAAAACGTAAAGTAAAAATATAAATTAAAATTTTCAATAAATATAAAATATAGTTATTTCAAAGAAATAACAGTGAGTATTTGGTACTGCTTATTATTACATGATAATTTAAATATATCAAAATACATCATTCAATATAAATTTCAAATATACTATTAGGAATAAGAGAAAGAGAATAAAAATATGATTGAAAAAAAAAAGAGAAGAGATATGTAGTAGAAATAAAAATAAAAAGGAAAAGAAAAATGTAAAATTAATGAGAGATAATTTGAAAAATATAAATTTATTGTAAGAATATTTTTGTCTTGAACAAATTAATATTCCGCTTCTTAAAAGAAGCTAGAATTTGTAGCTTCTCCCCCAAAAGCAGAAAAACAACTTCTGTTGCTGCTCAAAAGTACTTTTTATTTTGGCCAAACACCTAAATTTTTCAAAAATAAAAATACCTTTTTGATAAAAAATAATAGTAATACTTTTAACTTCTAGAAGCTTGTCCAAACAAGCTCTAAGTAAGTTACTTAAATAGTCTTACTCGTTTTTGCTTTTAAAGTTACTAATTTTATATTAGTAACCATAAATGGGTTACATATTGTATCATATTATATTGTTATTTTAAATATAAAATTTATTTTGATTGTTACTTAAATTTTATCGTATTATACTGTTAAATTCGTAATTATGTAGCAATGAAAAGTGTCATTTTATGTAACATGGTGTGGTCGTATATATCATTACCTTGTTTTTTCTCTCATCTTGCTCTTGTTTATTACATTAATAATCTTATTAACTCCTTTATCCATCTACTTTTTTATATAATAATTTTATCTCATATTCTAATTTTTCATTGTAATATTTTAAGTTTATTCTTCATATTACTAATGCATTATAGCATCTTAAAATTCACTGATAGTCAGGCACTGTTTCAATGGAAAATAGCAGTGTGTAGATAGATCAAATTTTACGTGTATATATGCTATATGTTGAATTTTTGTGCCTTTTTCGTGCATTTACTTCTTTATATTTTGATTCTCCTTCGTGAATATTCTGGCTCTACCGTACAAAATTAAATTATGACATTGTTTGTGTACAACAACAACAAACCCTTGCCTCGGGAAGATACAGAAGTTATTTCTAACCCTTGGCTCAAGGAAATTGGAAAAGAAGCGGTAACAACAAGAGTAATAACACCACCTATCCAATAAATAAACGGCAAATAGATAGCACTGTTAGTATATAAAAGTTAAATCCGATCATTCTCAGAAGCTTCTCATATAATCTATGTGACATGAACTGCAGATTTCACGAGGTAGGAGAGTTTGATGAATCGAAAAGGAGTTGCAGAAGGCGTTTGGCTGGGCACAACGAAAGGCGAAGGAAGACTACTACTACTTCTTCATCATCAGATCAGTCTAATGCTGAAGTTTCATCGAGTAGAAAAGCCATAATAGGGACAGACACTCATCAGATAATAAACTTCCAAGAAAATGCAGCAGCAGGTTATAAACACTTTCAGATTGGATGAAAAACTGAGGCAAAAAAATGGATACGATATGCTTGCTCTCTCTCTTCTGTCATTCTCTAATAAGTTCAGTTACTATAATAATTATCAGTTCGCTGTTTGTGACTTTTATAATCATGAAGTTTGAAGTCTTGAACATATTATTAAATCCAAGATCCTCAATGGTAGTTTTGTACCACTTTATCAAAAATAAATAATGATCTATGGATGTTATTGTATAATTAAACAGCCTCTCTATCTTCATAAAGTGGGGCCAGATTTCGCTATGTGGGATTACGCTTGAGTATGTTGTTGTTGGATATTGTTGTAATTGCCCCCACTACATATATATGATCTGCTTATAATTCTATATCACTCAAAGTTGAGTACATGCATTATATATGTTCAATATACCGTGAAGAATCAAATGCTATACCAGGTAAAAGAAAGAACAAAAAATTTAAAAACAAGAGAGAAATGAGTTCAATACTTGTTATTTTTTGTCGACTTTAAATTATATATGCTGTTAGTATAAAGATCTGTAGAAGGTATGAGAAAGTACGGATCGTCATTGACGGAGAGGATGCAACACTGAAGTACCGAGTTCATCCGAATTCAGTACTTTCGACACTGAGCATAACTTTATATGTAAAAGTTCACTAGAATTACAACAAATAGTAGATATTAACCTATAATTTTAAAAATATAATGAGGTTAACGTTAAGAACCTTAAAGATCGAACTCATAAAGATTAAATCTTCAAACTGCATTTGACTCTTGAACCTATATGCTTAGTTGTACATTGAAAACGTCGGTATTTTATTTTATTTTTTAAAATTCTATACTGTGAACAAATTTGAATCCAACTAATGGCAGCAAACAGGGAAAAAAAGAGAGAAGAAAATGAGTCCTGTTGGTTATTTGGCAAAAGGTCCAAATTACAAAATATACACATGTTGAACCCCTAATTTTCGACTAAAATAATGTAATTAGCTATGACACAGTTGACAGTAGCAGCTAGCTTAATGGAGTTTGGATTATTCGTAATTTGTTTTAATCATGCAGAGAAAGTAGTAAGATTTGCAAGAGGATTAATAAAAGAGAAAACTATGGCTCAAGTTCTTTTGTTACAAGCTATATTGTGCATTTGTGCCACAATATGCACTGCTTGCCACTCTGCTTTTGACATTTTAAGCAGTAATGTTCCCTTAGAGGATTTAGCATTGTTACTTTTCTCTATAGTTTTTTCCCTCGTAAATTCGGCATTACCTCCGAGTAGGAATAATGGTACCAGAAAAATTATTGTTTTATTAGCCGAACTATAACAATTACGTAGTTTATAAAGACCATCGTTGTATAACCATTCATCAAAGGACGCCGTGTTGGGTAAAAATGTAAATCTCTAGCTGCAAAAGTAGGAATAATGATAACCGGAAATGAAAATGACACAAAAATAATGTCAGCAACAAATGAACCTAATATTAGTTTATTAAAGTAGGGATCATCAAAGTTACATATTATTTCTCTCCTCTGTAATTTGAAAATTACGTGTATATTGGTAGTTGTAGTTTGTTAAGCGCAAAGCTACTTGTTACTAACTTGTTATGTGTTACAGACTAGTGTGGCTGGTATGAAATGCAAAAAGATAACTAACCGAATACTTGAATGAATGAATGAATTAGACATTAATATTTGCACAAGTTTTACATACATTACAAATATTTTTCTAAACTCAAACTAAAGTGAATTTGTAGAGCTCCGATTTTGCACAAGTTTTACATACATTACAAATATTTTTCTAAACTCAAACTAAAGTGAATTTGTAGAGCTCCGATTTTGCACAAGTTTTACATACATTACAAATATTCTTCTGAACTCAAACTGGAGTAACCTATATTTCCCCCCTCCTCTCTGTGTAGAATTCAAGATTTCTTGAAAAACTAATTAGCTCCCCAAATTTTTGAATTGATCACTACCTCATTTGGTAGGCAGCACTAGAAACTGCCGCATAAGGGCAGGCCATTGCCCTCCTTTCTTTTCTTTTAACAATCTGTAGCTTTGGTGATCTTGCTTTCGTCGCTTGTTTTGAAGACCTGTGGACGCAAAGATTTAGAAGAACGGAGAAGGTAGAGAAGAAAAAAAGCAGAAAACATCCAACATGCTAAATTTTACTTACTTCTGAGGTTGAAAAGGATGATCAAATTTAGGCACAGGTCTTGCATGAGGCACCAAAGTTCTCCTCAGTTGTTTCAGCGCCTTCTCTTCCTCCATCTGTCCATAAATGAAAAATAAGAATTAATCCGATATCATCACAACATTACATTAAATAACACAATCAAGATGTGCACATACCATTTTTGCAGATTCTGCCTCCTCTCTATACCTCTTATACATCATCTCTTTCTCCTTAATCTGCACAACAACAACTTATGAGCTGAGCATTGGATGCCTAGGACGAAGGCAATTCTAAGTACGCGCTTCTATAATAGAACAAAGAATTACCTTCTTATCGAACTCAGCTCTATCATGAGCACGATGATCTACGTGCAGTTTAAAGTCCTGAACTTCAGTGAGGGGTTTGCGTACTTTCTCAGGAACTGGTATTGGGTCCCTGCGTTATTAATGATGAAAAATATAAACCATTTTTTGACATAAAATGAGAAAACGACATTGTGTGGAAAGCTTGTTCCTTTAGTTCTTACTCTTTCAATACTGGTTGCGCCTTAAAATTCCTCATCTTTGTTTCTTCCTCCTCCATTCTTCGTCTTTCTTCCATATGCTTTCGCATCTCCTGCTCATGCTTAGTCAGACTCTCCAATTGGAAAAGTTCCGGTCTTGTGCACTGCTTTGGTTCTGGTTTCGGTGGAATCTGGCATGACAAAAAACAAGGAATGACGAACGTAAAAACATGTTTGTAGAAAGGATCCATGTTAGAGTAGATATAAGAAAAGCAATTGCATACCACGGGATAATCAGTGGTGTATGGATATGGAGTTGCTTTGTGAATTCTAGACCTCTCCTCCTCGATTTGTTTATGTAGAAGTTCGGTGAACAATCTCCTCTCTTTTTCTGCACCTCGTTCCTAAACTCCAATGAAGGCCAAGATGAGGGACTGCTGTACTTAGCTAAAAGGGAAAAAACTAAGAACACAAAAAACTACATACCTCAGTGTAGAGATGAAAAGGATTTGGAGTGGTGTTTCTAGGGAGAGTAGCCTTGTCATTTTGAAGTTCAGATTTAAGGGAAAGCTGAAAATAGTGAAAGATACAACGATTAGGAAGTGAGTGCTGAACAGTAAGATAATAGGGAGTAAGAAATATGAAATTGATATGGAACCTTGTCAAATATATCAGCTACATTAGCTGGAGGTGGGATACGTTCGTCTGTGGCAAAATGAAATTCCTGAGGCACTGTCACCTGCCTCTTTGTGTTGCAGAACATCCCCAAATCTCCCTTACTTTCAAAAATCTACAATTTGAGGAAGTTAGCAACAAGGGGAAAACTAGAGAGCAAGAGAGTTTTCCTGTATAATTATGGTTACCTTCTTATTCAAAGGCCTTGCCTTAAAAATGGGAACTTTTTCAAGTTCTTCCTTTTCCATTTCTTCGGAGCTTTTGATCTTTGGAGGCCGTGCTCTTAGTGATGTTTTAAGAACGGGCGATTTTGGAGCTGTAAGATGCGTCGGCTTCCATTGATGACTCTGTGATGAATGAATTTGTTATATTCACTATTTAAAGCAAATAACTTTTTTAACTGAGTGATTCTAGGAAGCACTCCTATACCTGAGTAGATTCTATTGATGCAACTGTTGATGTTTCAGCATTTTGATTCGCCCGTGCCATAGTTTGCAAATGAAATTCCTACAGAAGTAAAGATTAATTTTTCATATCGAATTTACTCTGAAAATTTTGATTTTGACAATCTATACAATACCTTAAATTCTGGTAGTTGAGGTGTACACTTCGGTAATGCTGATAGAGTTGGAATTTCCAATATCTGTTACCAAATATTCAAAACAATTTGGAAGGTAAGATATCAAAAGACACTATTTAAAATCAAGAAAGGAGGGAGCAAATGTCTAACATAAGGGAGGGAACAAATGTCTAACATAAGGAGGGAACAAATGTCTAACATAACCCCACAGTACCTTTTTGTTTAATGGTCGAGCCTTAAACTTGGGAATTTTGGCCATCATTTCTTCCTCTAGCTCAGCTGAACTCTTGACTCTTGTTGGACGAACACGTTGAGCTGTTACAAATTCAGGTTCTTTAGGCCTGGTCAATATAAGCTTATGATTCTTCCGCATCAGTCCAGCTGGATCAGCCTGAGTAATGAAAATACATTAGAAAAAACATAAAACATAAATCTTGTTAACATTAAGTAAAACTACAGTTGAATTACATGTGAAGTAGAGCTGCTCATGCGAGACAGTGACATCTCCCTGGTGCTAGATTGGAACTTTTTCAACATTTCTGCTGTTGAAACAAACGGGGCAATTGGTTCCCGAACATACATCTTAAGAGTAGAAAATAACGTTATGTTAGATTCACAACATCCAAAATTAGAATATATTCCAAAATGCAAGAAGAGGAATGTTGTAATAGCAAACCTTTCTATCCTTTTTATGAGTTTTTGCAGTCGGAGAGAGTAAGGCGGAACTGCTGCTAGCAACTCCAACTCGTGTTTTGTGCAGCAGAGTCTGAGGTTTGATGTTAAGAATCTACATGTTGGGTGGAAACGATAAGCAAGGTCAAATAAAAAGTGAAATATTATGCATGTACACATTCGATCTGAAAGATAAAAATCAACCTGTCTGGATTTTCCGTCTTCTAGTTTCTGTCTCTTTATAGCTTGGTTTTCAAGAGCAAAATTAGGTGCTTTAAGGGAACTTTTCACGGTTGGTTGCCTATACAGCAAAAGAAAATGCATTATTTCGACAGAGCACAACATGTTAGGATGGCAAAACATAAAAGGGAGCGAATTGAGAGATCAACGTGCTAAGATACTATAAGTGTTAACTTACTTCCTCGTACTAGCTGGATTACTGCTCTTCAACTGTGACTGTTGCACGTGAGCTTTTGACTTTAATGCCGACGGGTTTCTAAGAATGCTGGCGATCATTTTAGCAGTCTGTTGCTTCTTGGAATCAGTCTTCCTGTCACTCTTCAAAGATATCATTGGTGGTGCGGGCGTACTAATTTCTGTCACAAGAAAGTATCAGCCGAAGAGGTAAGAACTTAATCAAGTTACAAAGCCATCATTTCTTCCTACAGTATAACTGACCTTCTACATTTGACTGCTGCTGAATAGGTTCCTGGAAATTAATAACACAAAATTGAGAAATAGAGCCCGGAAATAACAAATAGCATTGCTTTTTTTGTACAAGATGTGGAGACATACCGGATTAGGAAGACTACTGCTACCAGATTCTTCAATAATCTCCTTAGGCGTTACCAGATTCTTACTACTGCTACCAGATTCTTCAATAATCTCCTTAGGCGTTACCTCTACCTTACTTCCTGAAGAAGTGAGCCTCGCTGCATGCTCTTCAATCCCACCATTTAAACTTACCTCTTCCTTACTTCCAGAAAGAGAGGGCTCGGTTGTAGGCCTGTTTCAGATGAACAATCAGTATGTTAAAAAGACTAGGAACGTGATGTCAAAATTTGCATCAAAATCATCTAAATCCTCAGAATTTATCGCAATATAAACCAATAGACCTTGAATTATCCTGCACTTCTTCCTCTACTTTGGTAAAATCACATAGGCTCTCAAGTTGAAATGTTCTACCACTCTTCTTGATTCTTTGCGTAAAAGCTGCAAAAGCCAACACAGAAATAACCAATCAACACAGCAATTTGCAATGGACAATTACAATCCACATTTTAACACTCTACAGGATCTAGTGCCAATGCCTAGGGATCACATAGATATAACTGGTCATACCTTGAAAGCGAAAGGAAATTATCTCACAGATGAAGCAAAGAAAATATTTTAGCCCTCAAAGTAGTAAATTTCCATTCATATTTAGTAGTATCTACTATTTCGAAGGCTATCATCGCTTCCATTCCCCCCCTCCCCCTTCCCCTCTCCCTATGTAATGAAAAGATTTTTAAAATGGCCTAACCAACACAGAAATAACCAAACATCAACCTCATATTGCAAAATGATAGTAATTTTTTAAGAAGAGAACTCAACAGCATTTGCAGAAACCCTCACAATTGCTACGGACATAATTACCAATATACATTGATTGTACTTAAAATTATTTTAACAATTACACCTGTTCTAATGATGATGCCAAGAATTTCCACAAATATATTAGCCATGCAACAACAACAACAACAAACCCAGTGGGATCCCATAAGTAGGGTCTAGAGAGGGTAATGTGTACGCAGATCTTACCTCTACCTTATATATATTAACCATGCCTTGAAATAATCATAAAAAAATTACCCAAGGCAACTCAATTGTGTTCCCACACCCTATGTTGATCTCTTGTTGCATAAAAAAGACCCCAAAATTTGTAAATCAATTTCTAAATTCGTATTTACTATTTTTTTAAGCCGGAAACAGCATCTCTACCTTCACAAGGTAGGGGTAAGGACTGCGTGTATACTACCCTTCCCAAACCTCACTTGCGGGATTACAGTGAGTATGTTGTTGTTGTTGTTGTTGTTGTTGTATTTACTGTTTCTAAGGCTACCATGGGAAGAAAAAAACATGGCTTATTAAAAAAGCATCGTCAACCCCAATTTCCACCGGAGCCGGTCCAAGTTACACTTCTTTAAACTAAACCGAAAATGAAACTCCTCTCTATATCACTCAAAATTATCGCCGTAAGTCATAGAATTCAGCAAAATCACCAGTCTAAATACTTTACAGTAACTAACCCAACTACAAAACTCTAGAAATTGGGAAACCCCAAAATTAACAATGGTAAAAAAATAAATTAAGAACCCAATTGTTGAATAAGTAATTTAGAGAAGCAAAAAGCAATTAATTAAATTCGAAAGTAGACATACGAGAAGGGGCATAGCTGATTGAACTCTCGAACCAAAGTTCAGCCTTCCGCATATCCTCATCCGTTTCTCCATTCATAAAGTCGTAGAATCGTGGCGCCTCGAACTCGTAATCTTGGTCAATTATCAAGTTCGGATCCTCCATTTTCTAAATTGGTGTGATTTGTTTTCTGCGCCCTGCGATTTGATCTTTGTGAAGGAGAAGATTTTCTCACTGCTGTGTTTTGTTTGTGTGTTGAAAGGGAGAAAAGAATGGGAAAATTTGGGAGTGGAGAGATGATTTACGTTGTGATTGTGGGTTCAACGGTCGAATTATTTGAAAAAGGTGAGGAGCTTAGGTGACTTTTGGAATGTGGCTGAAGGGGCACTCTGTATAACGGCTATAAACGACCATTATTCAAGAAGAAGGCAGATTTATGTCCTAATTGGTTAATTTTAATTGTAGTCCTTGCGATATTTGACTATGCATATTTGACCTCTAATTAATTAAAATGTGTACTTTTGATCCCTTTTGTTGTGAATATTCAAAGTTTTACATGATTATTAGTAATTGTTACATCACTTGGTTACTAATGTGTAGAGTCAGACCCATGATTTAAGCGTGGCGAGACACTTAATAGAAAGAGGAAAAAAAAGAGTAACATTGTTGTTATTGGGTCTTCGTCTTGGGTGGGCAAGCGAGGGAGAGAAGATTATGCTCCATGCTAAACCATTACACCCAATCAGCTTTTGTGTTTGAGGGGTCACAATAAAAATATATAAAGGGCCTATATATATATATATATATATATNCCGCTGCTCATGTGTTATGAATTTTGTATTCTTTTGTTACTCCATATTTGATGGTGATGTAGTTCTTTAATAGTGCAAATACAACATATTTTCTTCATAAAAGGGACTAAAAATACACATTTTAATACAATACTAATCATGCCTTGAAGTTGGTCATACTTAATTAATAGTAATAAATAGTTCAAAATAATTGTAACGAAAAAATCAAAATAAGTGAGACAAACATAATATCACAAACCACATGGGAAGCCGATATTATGAAGCCAAATGTGAAGGGAATTCTTTGAAATTATTTATCACTATTTTGACTTCAACTTATTTTTTCTATTTTTATAAGTAAGGTTATGAATCCATGCTCACTTTTAATTAACTTTTACTTATCTTATTGTATAAATATTTTTTTGTGCACCGTCAATCCATCAAGATATATTATTGCTTGATCATTTCTAGTTCATTTTCTCATTAACCATGTCCCTCAAATCAACTAGAGTAGTAATTTAAATTGTTAGTAAATTACATAATCGACAAACTGACACTTATTTCTGTCTCTTTGCAATTGTTAACACAATTCTTTTTTCCTTCAACAAATTTATTTACTTTTGGTGCAACATCTCACCTTAGGCAATATCTTAAAATAACACTCCATCTACTAATGAAGTTAAAGTGTTCAGTATTTATTCATTAATGTCATATTAACTTCTCACCTACTATTCTCATGTCTATAATAGCATCCCTATATAATAAAAGTCAAGTTTTTCTTGGAACCGATTTTTATGTTATGTTCACTACTAGAAATTCGGCAAAAACCGACCACGGTCGACCGACCAATTTTTGTTGGTAAAAAACAGGCCAAAAAACCGACCAAAATTGGTCGATTTTTCAAAATATTTTAATTTTTAATTTTTTTACTAAACCAACCAACTTTGGTCGGTTTTCTTTGGCGCAAAAATGCGAAAAACTATTTTTGAGTCCCGCAAAATTTATTTTTTAAGAAACCGACCAACTTTGGTCGGTTTTCTTTGGCGCAAAAATGCGAAAAACTATTTTTGAGTCCCGCAAAATTTATTTTTTAAGAAACCGACCAACTTTGGTCGTTTTTTCATTTAAAATAAATTAAAATTAATATTAAAAAAACGACCGATTATCGACCGGTCATTTTAAAAAACCGACTGAATTCGGTCGGTAATTTTATTTTTTAATAAAATCGACCAACTTTGGTCGGTTATTTTCGTGCGAAAATACAATTAAAGAGTATAAATAAAATAAAAGACAGTCTTAAAACAAAATGTACCAATGGTCTAGTGGTAGAATAGTATCTTGCCACAATACAAACCTCGGTTCGATTCCCAGATGGTACATTTTTTAATTACATAATTAAAATACCGACCAACTTTGGTCGGTTTTTTCGGTATTTTTTTTTTTTGAATTTAATTGACCGACTAGAGTTGGTTGGTAATTTCCGACCAACTTTGGTCGGTATGCCCTTCCGACCTTCAAAATACCGTCCACACGTAAATGGTCGCGTTTTGAACGGTTATTGGCCATTACCGACCCACTTTGGTCGATTTTTTTGGATGGTTTTGCCCGAATTTTTAGTAGTGGTTATAATATATGTCCTCTATAACAACGCTTCACTATAGCATCAAAAAATATCGAAACAAACGAGTCGGTTATAAAGAGGTTTGACTATAGTTCATGACATAATGTGAAATTTTTAAAGCTATTAGTTGATTTTAACAAAAATGGGAAAATGATCTCTTATACGCACTTACAATTTGAATACATAAAAATAGCTCTATAAAGATCTCATGTATCATTTTTAACCGATCTTCTATAAAAAGGGGTCATCAAACTAAAATAACTATTTATTTTAAGCAAGTTGATAGCGTTATTAATGCCATGCAACATCTTTTTGTGATTGATCCTCCTGCAACAGATTCCCCAAAATTCAGGCCAATTTCTAGGACAAAATTAATCAGCTTGGTTAGGCATTAATAACTGTATACTCATCCAAATTGGATGAATATAATTAATTAATAACTGCAAATGACATACAGCTAGTGCTTCTCCTACAACCTACAAGGACAACAACCCAGTATAATTCCACTAGTGGGGTCTGGGAAGGGTACATCTATACTGGGGCAGAGAGGCTGTTTTCGATAGACCCTCGACTCCTTCCCTTCACGAACTCTCCACTTTGCTCTTGGGGTGACTCGAACTCATAATCTCTTGGTTGAAAGTGGAGGGTGCTCACCACTAGAGCAACCCACTCTTGTCCTACAGAATCATATAAATCTCTACTACCTAGCAAATTAAAATGGACTTAGTTCCATCACTGACCATAAGAACCAGAAGTAGCAAATGGCAGCCAAGAATTTAGCATTCACATTTCTTATACTTGTCCTAGTCGCGACTCCATTGCCAGGGATGGCAGTTTATGTTACTCCTAAAAATGTAACGTGCCACGATGTGATTAATTACTTCGCGTATTGCCAAGAATATGTAGATGGAGATTACGATGATCCAACTCCAGCGTGTTGCGATAACTTACATATTATGAACGAGAATGTGAAAAAGGATAACACAGAAGCTCGCAGGTATTGTTATTGCATTGAAGTTTTCTGTGCTACAGTTGGCCGGCCTCATCCTCCTTATCTACAGTCTCGGATTACAGATCTTAATATAAAATGTAACTTTCATCGTAGTTTTCCCATCTCTGAGCATATGGACTGCACAAAGTATGTACATTCTATCACTCTCCTTTCTCTCCTCCCTTTAACTTTTGTATATGTAATCCCCCTATTCCAATTTATATGACATATAGTTTGACTTAATACTTAGTTTTAAAAAAGAAAATAAAAACTTTTGAAACTTGTGGTTTTGAACATGTCAATAAAAGCTTCTCATAAATAATAAAATGAGAAAGTTAAAATTAAATTATTTTACAAATATAAAAAAGTGTCATTTCTTTTTAAATGAATTAATAAAAAAATAGTATCACATAAATTGTAACAATAGGGATATTTCTTTTGGTTATGTTGTAGTAACTAACACTTCTTCTTCTTCTTCTCTCTTTTTTTTGTTTTTTTGTTTGGGTGCAGTGTTTAGTAAGAGAATATTCAACTCTGAGGAAGGCTAGCAGTTCACTGCTTCTATGTTAGGAAAACAAATATATGTATATATATGAATTGGATGGATGATGAATTCATACATGCTAATTGCTATAAGTTATCTCAACATGTGGTTGATATGAGAAGATTGCTAAACTTTTGAACAAATTCTCTAATATAGTACAACACCTCAATCCTGGGATCGGCTATACGAATACTTATTGATCATATTTCTCCATTTAGATTAATATTATACAACAGTAATAATAATAACAACCACGCCTCAGTCTTAAAATAGATGGTATACTAAAATGGTCGTATAACAATTTATAACGAAACAAAAAATATTGGGTAAAATATGTTACGATACATGGCCATCAAAAAAGGGGACACGTGGAATCAAATCCGGGAGGACAGAAAACCGGGCACATCTATCTCGTGTGTCACCGAGAAAGACAAGCCCATAAAGGCATTAGGCATGCTGTGCCAGATAGCATTTAATGAAGAATATTCTACAACATTAAAGAGTAACGACTTATTACAAGAATTTGGGCATTTATGTTTACCGTTAGGTTTTCATTATCGCACTTCAATAATTGTCATTAGTGCTGGGCCCAACCATTACATCCACTAAGCTACAAAATAATAGGCTCAACGATCATTGTAGGGGACGATTTTTTGGACATCGAGAAATATATTCTAACACAGCATCTTGATACTATTTTTCTCTCTCTAGCTTGTTGGTCTTATCATCATTGTGCCCGGAAATCCTGTTCCCGGGATCTCCAAATCTATCATTTTATCTGTATTTGAGCTGAGTATCTTACATCCAAATTGACTGATTCATTATCTTTTGGGATAAAATTGATTCATTTGTCTAGAAATCACGAACAAATTCAACTACACCATTTTTCGAGCAAACAGTTTGGCGCCCACCGTGGGGCCTAGACAGTCGTATGGTTAAGTTGATCCTTACCTCTTTCACCCATAAGCTTTGATCGTTCTTGTCTTACCAAAATCACAAAGAATGACAATCAATACCATTAATAATACTCGCAATCATGAGGTTCAAAGGGAACACCCCCATTTTGAGGACTCAATCAGCGACACTCGCAATGAGGGGGAAGAAGCCACGCCGAAGTATAACGGGCGGTCTCCCAAACAAGTACAGGAGACGACTCTAGATGATGCTGACCAGGGGCACGTAGCAGACACAGTGAGGATCCTCAAGAGCAGCAGGCAATCATTATAGGCCACCTCATGCGGCAGGATCAGGGTATGACAGAGGTAAAACATGCCCTATCAAGTGCTTCAAATAATGCAAACAGGCGACATCCATTTCCTCCTGTTGTTCCTACAAACCAAACAACGTAGAGAGTCGACAACAACACTCCTAGGGGCGAAGTTGGCTCCGACAGGGCCGGGGGGAGTGGATCTGGCCTCAACAGTGATAACTATCC